AAGGGTATCTATGTCCCCTCCCACCCGCCCCCACCCACAGCGCGCTAGCCCATCCATCAGCCCACCCGCCGGCCACGCTTTCTCCCCCATCCTGCCGCCGGCGGGGGGCCGCCGAGGCCCCGGCCCCGCCGGGCTGACTGCTCCGCGCCCTCCACTCACCCGGCCTCCCCTGCCCTCAGGGATCCCTGCTCCCCACACTGCCCGGCGCGGTCCGTCTAGGCTCGGCTACCCTCCGTCTGTCCGGCCGGCTCCCAGTCCAGCCTCCACCTCTATGTCTTCCCCTTCCCCGTCTCTCCTCTACCCCTGCACCTCTCTCTTCCCCCATCCCCGCTCGCAAGCCTCTCCCGCCCACAACCCAGCTCCTTTTCCCCCTCAGGCTCTAGGTCTGTCTGTCCGTCCGTGTCCCCTCCCCCAGCCCCTTCCAGTCCCTCTCCGTGCCCTCCAGCGGCAGGGTCCGAGCGCCTCCTCTCTCCTCCGTCTCAAGCTTCCAAAGAGCAAGGAAGGGGAGAAGAGAGGGAGGAGGAAAAAAAAAAAAAAAAACCAACGGGGGAAAAAAAAAAAAAAAAAGAAAAACAACCAACCCAGCAGCATCGGAAATCGATGCACTTACACCTCAGCTGGAAGCAGGGACGGGAGTCGAACCGCGGCCGCCGAGCAGCGCGAGGCGGGGAGGGGAGGGGGCGGCTCTTGGAAGGGACTTCTCCGATGTGTTGATTCCTTTTCCCCCTCCTCCTCCCTCCCTCCAGCGCTCACTCCGGGGCGTCGGGGATGGAGATGGAAAAAATAAATAAATATATTCACGGCGGTGAGGGAAGTGAAGGAAAATAATCAATGCTATTTGGCTGCGGCTGAAGTGTTTTCCCGGCTTCGTGAGGGGGTTTCCATTGATTCACCCAGGGCACTCGCTCGTTCCCTGCCTCCTCCGCCTCCGCCTCCTCCTCCTCCTCGCCCACCTCCTCCTCCTCTTCGCCCTCACTCCTCCGCCTCATTCACTGGCTGGAGCGAGGCGTCCCACACAATGGAATAATCAATACCCAGGCTCCCAGGGCGACCCCACTGAGCAGGTGCAGCGGACCGCCCGCCGCGGTGGATGCCGGGAGTTGTAGTCCGCCCTCCCGCTAGCCCGGGCGGAATCCGTCCGCCTCGCTGAATCTTGGGAGGGAGCCCAGGCCCCAAGGCAAGGCCCGCCAGTGAGCCTGGCCACCTGCTGGACTCTGGCGCCAGGTCCTAGCCAGTGCCTGCAAAGAGGACAGGCTCCTTTAAACTCTTTTTCACCTTCTCTTCTTCTTTCCGGTTATGAAACCATATGTGTGTTTTGTTTTGTTTTGTTTTGTTTTGTTTTGTTTTGTTTTAAATCATCTCTAGAGCAAGCCCTGGCTTCTACCAGCTTCCCAGAACCGCCTGAGGCCTCTTTTTCCATTCCTTCTCCTGCCTTATTAGCCCCTCCCTTCCAACTGGATACCAGAACATCCTCTTCCGCAGCAATTACTCTGAAGTCTCTGAGAGCCCCCCCACCTCTCTCATCTCAGAGTCCCCAGAGTTATTATAATAACAATAATTGCTAAGATTTATGGAGTGCCAAGGACAGTTTCAAGCACCTTTCCATATATTAACTTATTTAATCCTCACAACTAGTCCCCATTTTACAGTTGAGGAAACAACGGCACAAACAAGTTAATTAGCTGGCCCCAGGTCACATGGTGGGTTACTAATGACAAGCGGTCTGGCTCCAGGGCCTGCCTTAGCTGCTACAGTCTACTCTTTAAAGAGCAAATAAAAACCCTGGAGTTTACAGGAGAAAACAAGGAGAAATTTAACATTCGGAATCTCAAACATGTGACAGTGTGTCAATGAATCCTCACACATAACTATGAGGCAGCCCACATTTTGCCAATGAGAAGCAGAGGTTTCGTGAGACAGAGTAGCTTGCCCAAAGCCAAACGCCTCGAAAGTGAAGCTGGCACCCTGGCTGGTGTTGCCAAATGATGAGAGTGTCTGCCTGACCACCAAAGTGTTGTGGGTTTGATTACTGGTCAATGGAATGTACCTGGGTTGCAGTTTCCATCCTCGGCCCGGTCCTCCGATGGTCAGGGGCAGTTGGGGTCAGTGCAGAAAGCAATCAATCAATTTGATTTGTCTCTCTCATATCCATGTCTCTTCCTCTCTCTCTCTCTTGCTCTCACTCTCGCTCGCTCTCTCCCTCCCTCTTTCTCTCTTTCCTCTCCCCCTTCCCTCCCTTCCATCTCCCTAAAAATCAATGGAAAGAGTATCATTGAGTGAAAATTAACAACAACAACAAAAAGTGAAGCTGGGAGTTTACTCCAGGTCTATCTGGCTCCCAAATATGATCGTTCTTTTCCGTTAAACTCCTCTGCCCACTGGGATTGGGTTTTATAATTCAGGGAAGAAATTAGAGCTTCTTCCCCTTGACAACAAAACTGAAAAGCAGCCAAAACCGGTTTGGCTCAGTGGTAGAGCGTTGGTCTGCAGACTGAAAGGTCCCGGGTTCAATTCCGGTCAAGGGCATGTACATTGGTTGCGGGCACATCCCCGGTAAGGGGTGTGCAAGAGGCAGCTGGTCGATGTTTCTCTCTCATCAACGTTTCTAGCTCTCTATCCCTCTCTCTTCCTCTCTGTAAAAAATCAATAAAATATATTAAAAACAAACAAACAAACAAAAAAACTGAAAAGCAAAGGACAGATGAAAAGCAGGCCAGTGAGAGGAGTTAGTGGCTGCGGGTCCTCCTCTCCCTGCCCATTGGTGCTTGTCATGGCAGGAGCGGGGGGGAGTCTGGGAGGTGGATGCATACAAGACATCCCAGATCAAAATACCGTGTTCGTAAACCAGTGTACTTACCAGGGTTCATGTGTTTTCAGAAGCATGCTGGGAGAGGACAGGTGTTGAGAACCTAGCACTTCTCACCAATCATAGAAGGAATCCAGGAGTTGGTAAGAGCCACTGTTCCTCAGCAAGCCACCACATCCAGGGGGTCCAGCATGCAGTTGACTCCTCCAGGTAACCACAGTCCTCACAGGGACTAGGGAGCAGGAGGGTTCATTTCCCAAAGCAGTCAAAGGGCCACCTCCATGTCTTCCTGTATTTTATTTTATTTTATTTTATTTTTAAAAATATATTTTATTCATTTTTTACAGAGAGGAAGGGAGAGGAATGGAGATAGAGCTAGAAACACACATCAGCTGCTTCCTGCACACCCCCTACTGGGAATGTGCCCACAACCAAGATACATGGAATCGAACCTGGGACCCTTCAGTCCACAGGCCGATGCTCTATCCACTGAGCCAAACCGGTTTCGGCTCTTCCTGTATTTTAAATGACCATGAGTGCTCTCCTGTTCCTGACAAAACCTGCTCAGTGTCCATTGGCAACTCAGTGACATACTCCTCACTCCGTCTGGCACTCAAAACCTTTTCCAACCTGCTCCACAACTTATTTCTAGCTTCATCTCCTTCCACACTGGCCAGGTGCTTTCCAGCTTTTGGGTCTTTGCTCAGGCTGTTCCTGTCTCCATCTGAGTCTCCAACTGTTGAAATCCCATTCCGTCTTTAATTCCCATCCAAAATATCACTTCCTCCTCAGACAGAAAGTTTCCCACCCACCCTTACCCTGGACATTCATGCTGCGGTATGAAAAACTCCAGAATAACTAAGCTTCTTAGTTATGCTTTATAAATAAACGAACAAACAAATAAATAATTTCAGAGGGGGGGGGGGAGATAGAAACATCAATGATTAGAGAGAATCCTTGATTGGCTGCCTCCCATACATCCTGAGCCCAACACCCAGGCATGTGCCCTTGACAAGACTCAAACCCAGGACCCTTCCGTCCACAGGCCAATGCTCTAGCCACTGAGCCAAACTAGCTAGGATTCTTAGTTATGCTTTTATCAGCCCACTGCCAGTGGCCTGCATTTAGTGTCCCCTCCTCATCCCCCCAACCTCCCGCAATAGTCAATATTATTAGTATGTCTGCTGGACAGTGTCTGAATGAGTGGCGTGTATTTCAGGCCCATCTGCTTATGGAGGGAGGGGTTTGGACACCAGACTGGGGCCTCAGCTCCTCCCACCCTACTCTCCCCATAGCCCTCATCAACTTTAGATAGTCTCCTTGGCACTATTCGCAGCCACCATAGCCACGGTGATGGGGGTGGTGGTGGGGACCAAGTCTCCTTTTGGAACTACATCTCCCATCATGCATCCAGGCCCCAGGATGCCAGGCTCGGCCTGAAGCGCGGACCGGGCCGTACCCCGGGATCCAGGAAAGGTCGGGGGTGAAGAGCAAGCGCAGGGGAACGGCCCGTTCCCTTCTCACTGCTGAGGTCCCGGCCCTTTAAACTCTAGCGGCCTCTCGGGCCGGCCTGCCCGTGGCACCACTACTTCGGCCTAATATGGCCGCTCGCGCGGGGACTGGTCCGGAGAGCAGAGCTGGGCCGAGGTCCAGGGCCAGGTTCTGTTCCCGGCATCCCTCGCGGCGTGGCGTGGGCTCTCGTCCCCACCTCCAGGTCCCGCGAGAGGGAGGCTTTCGGGCTCCGAAGTGACAGCCGAGGCTCTGTGGTTGGGGAGGGCTGGTCGGCGGGGTCACCCGGGTAGTGAGCCACCGGCCTGCAGGGTAAGGAGGTGTGTGGGGAGCGCTGAAGGGACACCGGCCATGCGCCTGCTTTTGAAGGAGCCCTTTGGCTTGAGGACATCTTCAGCCATGCAAGGGATCTTACTGGAGACCTGTCACTGTCAGTCTTAAAACATCAAACAGAGGGCGGGGGGGAAGGCGGGGCTTCCAGCACAGGGCGGGGAGAAAGGGCTGCAGCACCAGCAGAGATTCTGTGACAGTGTTGGTGTCTCACAAGTTCTTTCCAGGGTGGTGGTGGTGTGTGGGAAGTGGGGGTGGGGTGTCTTTTCTGAGCTGTCATGCTGCAAGGCAGAGCCCCCTTGGGAAGTCAGCAAATGATTAAAAAAAAAATTTTTTTTTTATTGACTGATTGCAGGTAGTAATGGCCCAGGGATTGATTGAGGTGGAGCGAAAGTTCGTTACTGGGCCTGAAACAGAAGGACGGCTGCAGGAGTTGGGGGGCACCCTGGAGCACCGGGTCACCTTCCGAGACATCTACTATGACACCCCTGAGCTGAACCTCATGCGGACCGACTACTGGCTGCGACAGCGAGAAAACAGTGGTTGGGAGCTCAAAATTCCCGGAATGGCAGGTGTCTCTGGACCCCACAATGTGTACTTGGAACTCACAGCTGAGCCTGAAATTGTGGCCCAGCTCTATAAGGTGCTGGGTGCTGAAGTCCTGGGGGCTGAAGGTGTGGCTGCTGTGCTGGGGCCACTAGGTCTGCAGGAAGTAGCTAGTTATGTGACTAATCGTAGTGTCTGGAAACTGGTGCTTTCCAGAGCTGATCAAGAGGAGCTTCCGCTCAGGGTGGACCTGGACACAGCCGACTTCGGCTATGCGGTGGGTGAAGTAGAGGCCCTGGTGCACAAGGAGGCCGAAGTCCCAGCGGCCCTAGAGAAGATCAACAAGCTCAGCAGCATGCTTGGTGAGGGAGGTGGAACCTTCTGTGCTTTCCCTGTTCCTTTCCTGGGTGTACCCATTAGGACAGTTCGCAGGGAGGGTTTTGGAGTTTTTTCTCTAATGGGAATTGTTTTAGCAACTTTCTAGGAGACTGAGTTTCCTTAGGTTTCTATCACATCCCCTTTCCTCTTTTGCATAGTGCTCTAATGATTTAATTCTGCCAAGTGTCTCTGACCTATCTCAGTCATTCTGATTTAGTTCTCAGACCTCTAGTCTTCAGTTCCATTTGTCAGTTCCTGCTTCAGTCCTTCAGTCCATCCTCCCATCTCCCAATTCCTATCTCCTCATTTTTACAACTATCTAGATCTTCACTGAATGTGTCCTGTTAGCTTTCAGAACAAAGCAATAATGTATTTCTGAGAGACTGGGGCAGGCACTGGCAGACTTGTTTTTCCTGTTCCTAAGCTTAGTGACCTTGTAGACAGCTTGTCCACGCAAGTATGGGGTTGCACATCCCATGGGGCCTTACAGCCCTTGAAAGCTGTTCTCACCATCTCAGCAAACATACACTGAGTTCTAGTTATGTGCCCAGTATGCCATCAGGTACTTGCAATAAGACACTGGCTTATGCCGAAACCGGTTTGGCTCAGTGGATAGAGCATTGGTCTGAGGACTGAAGGGTCCCAGGTTCAATTCCAATCAAGGGCATGTACATTGGTTGCAGGCACATCCCTGGTGGGGGTGTGCAGGAGGCAGCTGGTCGATGTATTTCTCTCATTGATGTTTCTAGCTCTCTATCCTTCTCCCTTCCTCTCTGTGAAAAAGCAATAAAATATATATAAAACACACACACACACACACACACACACACACACACACACACAAAAAAACAAAAAACAAAAAACAAAACAAAACAAAAAAAAACCCAAAAAAAACACTAGCTTATCATGGCTCCACCACAAAGAGGCTAAAAGTCTATGTGAGTCCCATCCCATGGCTATAGCTGCTTCTCTCTCTCTCTCTCTCTCTCTCTCTCTTTTAAATATATTTTATTGATTTTTTACAGAGAGGGAAAGAGATAGAGAGCTAGAAACGTCAATGAGAGAGAAACATCAACCAGCTGCTTCTTGCATACCCCCTACCGGGGATGCCTGCAACCAAGGTACATGCCCTTGACTGGAATCGAACCCGGGACCTTCCAGTCCACAGACCGACGCTCTACCACGGAGCCAAACCAGTTTCGGCTCTCTTTTTAATTTTAGAGAGGAAGGGAGAGGGTGAAGGAAAAACACTGACCAGTTGTCTTCCATATGCACCCTAACCTGGATATGTGCCCTGATCAGAATTGAACCTGTGACCCTTCCATGCACCAGACAGTGCTCCAGCCACACTGGCTAGGGCTCTCCTTTTCTTTCTACATCCCTCTGTTTCCCTCTCTACATGTGCCCCATTACCAAATTAACGAGTTTTTGCCTGTCTAGATGGACTTTAATCTTAATTGGGGGACAGGAGCCACATACTGAAATAGTTGATACTCAGGCCCCCTCTGTCTTCATGGTGCATAAGTGCCTCTTTACCATTTTTCCTTGCTGCCAGAAGTGGCCCTTTTGGGCCCCACTTCTAAACTCGGGGAGTGGGCTGTGGGTTCCGCAAGCTGGTTGGATGGCTGGCGTTCTTCATCCCAGGGCTGCCTTGGAGGCAACTTGGGGGTCCGGTTGCGTGGGCAGGGAATAGACTCAAAGCATTTGTAGCTCTTTCTGCTTCTCTTGTTCTCCTTTTGCCTATAGGTGTGTTGGCACAGGAGAGTGCACCCTCCAAGCTGATCGTGTACCTACAGCGTTTCCGGCCTCAGGACTACCAGTGCCTGCTAGAAGTATACGGCTCCAGAGAGAAGCCGGAGGGGACTAATGATGCTGACAGTGGCCTGGGCTAAGGTGTCACTTCCTCAACAACAGAGAAGAGAACTCTGAGCCTAATGGCGTTCATTCCTTTTCTCACTTGCCTGTTCTCCTGGCTTCCCTTTCCACCGTGACTCCTCTCACCAGCTCTGCCTGTTCCTTCACGCTACCCTCAGTTATCCTGTGGAGCCCTCCCAGGCTGCCTCCTCTCCCTCATCCGTCAGATGCAATCTGTGGGCCGCCCCTCTCCCCTGGCCGCTAAGCAGCCTCCATTGATTTCCGCTCGTGTTTATAGGATTTCCACTTAGCCGTGATCAGTAGTTAAGCACAGGAAAATCCCTTGCCACCCCCCTTCCCTTGGTCGATGCCATTGATTCTGCCAGCGGCTCCTAAACCACCTTACAGCTGAGTTAGAGATGAGGGGAGGCAGCAGGGATTTCCCTGCCTGGGGGCGTTGGGGAGTAGCGGCAGGTTGGGGAAAAGGGTGGGAATCCCTATTGGAAATCTAGAAATTCTGGTTTGATTTTGCCACTGTGCCCTGCTCTGGCCCAAAGGGTAAAGTGCCTCTGTAGGGTCAAATGTGTTCCCGAGCCAGAAAGAAAACGCTTCTTTGTTGAAACCGATTCCAAGGGTACATACTTCCGGTTAAGACTTTTTCTTTGCTGTTATTCATATATTTTCTACTTCAAATATATACAAATATAACTCACTCCCTCAGGCTTTATTGGACTTTCATTATTTGTCCAGGAGAAGGGCGGGCCCCTCCAGTTCTGGCAATGCAAGCACAGGACCAGAGCGCCACCTGCCGGTAGTCCTCAGATGTAGGTTCCAAGAACCTGGGAACCCAAGGGTCTGGGACGCAAGAGGATTTCAGGCTGAGTGGAAGCTGAGCTACTGCCATGTCTCCACAGGCAAGTTGTTCACCTCGAACACCTCCTGCACTGACTGGCCATAGTGGTTGTAGGTGAGGCGCAGCTTTAACCGCAAGGGGGCCTAGGAACAGGAGAGTGGAAACCAGGGTTAGCACAGGTGACTGCTCCCTTCCCTGGGTCTTATTCTCAGGAGACTCCTGAGCTCACCTTGTTAGGATTGAGGACTCGGAGGACCTGGGTCACTGGAAGGCCTCCCTGTGCTGGAACTGTGTCCCCACTGGGGGCCTGTAGCTGCAGCTGGAAACTCTGAACATGGGAGATCGGGCAGGTTCAGGCAAGCCCTGCACACCCAATAGTTTCAAACCCTCTTCCCATAACTCCCCAAGCGATCGTCTCTGCGTGGCACTCCCTTCTCGTCGCATTCTCTTTCCCATCCACCTCCTCCACTCATTGGCCTTTTCTCCTGGAGTGCCCAGGCCACCTCTGAATCCTGGTCTTCTACAAACCTTGGGCACAGCGGCCTGGCAGATGAAGTGGGTGACGTCACCCTCTGAGGCGTTGGTGGCAGTGACAGTGATTACGAGCAAAGTAGGGGTTCCAGGGGGTCTAACAAAAGACAGGTTCAGCTGCAGTCCTTCCCGCTCAAACACTTTAAGATTTGGGATGGGAGCTAGAGGAGGAAGAGAGAAGCAGCTTACTGTATGGACCAACGATGAGTTCATTCATTCTCCCATTCAACTAAGTTTAAGTGAGCTCCCACTGGTGCGGGGCACTGCTTGAGATGCTAGCGACAAAGTGGGCAAGGAGTTGGAGCTGACAGTCAGTCTAGTTTGGGGAGAGAATAAACAAGAAAAGCAAGATAATCACAAGAAGTTGGAGCTGACTGTCTAGTTGCGGGAAGAGAATAAACAAGAAAAGCAAGATAATCACAAACTATAATTGGTGCTAGAAGGAAATAAACTAGGCCAGAGTAACTGGGAGGAACCAACTAAACAGGAGTGGTAGGGGAAGCACCTGACATTTTAGCTGAGGCTTGAAGAGTAAGAATAAGCTAGTCATCTGAGGTGCTAGGGAAAGAATAGCCCATGGAAAAAGAACATGAATTGCCAAGGGCTTGAGGTGAGAGGGTCTGAGGAGCTAAGAGGGGTCAGTGGAGTGGGCAGGAGGGAAGTATATGAGATGGGCCAGGGAGGAAACAGAGTCTTCAGGCCAGGATAAGACATCTGGAACAAAGGGGAGACGTTGAAGGGTGTCTAGGAAGGGAGTACATGCCAGAACCCTGTTACCTACTAAGACGGGCACACAGCAGGGAAGAGGGTACTTGAACCTCAGTGCTTGGCTAAAGAGAAGAAACATCTCTCCCCCCACCCACCGCCCCGACATCTCCCTTTTACTGAGGCTTACCTGGGGCTAGGGGAGCACAGGGAAGGTCGAGCAGGTGTATTAAAGTGCCTTCTGCGGAGGGGTCCACAGGGGCAGGCTGCTGGGAATCCTCAGAGGGTCCATCCAGGAGATCTAACAGATCCAAGAGCTTTGAGGCCTGTGGGGAAAGGGCAGAAGGATCAGGGCTAGGTATGGAAGCCCCACTAAGTCCTCTCCCCCCTGGGCTCCCGCCTCCTTACCTGGGGCTCTGTGGGGACCGGGGCTGGTTCCAAAAGGCGGGTTGCTTCTTGGCTTTCCTTCACTTCCTCATCAGCCTGAGGGCCACCTCGTTCCACAAGAGGCATCTTTTCTAGGATGGCCGCCCTGTGAGGATGGAATGCAGGTTGTCCCTCTGGGTGGCCCTGCGCTTTTTACAAGAGGCGCGTGGCAGGAGGAGTAAGAACATGGAGCCCTGGACACATGGTGGGTTGGAAGGGGCCCTCTGACTTCCTGAGGTGGCACGCTATTGGTGGTTTCCAGATGAGCAAGGAGGGGTGGCAGCCAGCTCAGCCCCAATGAACTGGGAATGGAGGCTCTGGCTGGATGAGGATTGTGACCCTGGCACCCAGAAAGGGACTCTGGGAAGAGGGCATTTGGGGAGAGGGCAGGGACGTGGGCTCTATGCTGGGGCGGGCCGCCAGCCGCACCTCATGTGGTCGTACTTCCGGAAGAGGGTGTTGTACTCCACAGCCCGCTGCTGCAGCTCCACGTCCAGGCAGCTCCCGTAGATGGACACCACCTGGCGGATGCGGCTGGGCCAGAGGGTGGCGTGTGAGTGGGCACGGCCGTCTGCCTTGCCCTGCAACTCCAGGACGTGGCAGGGAAGGGAGAGGCCCCACAGAGCGGGGCGAGGCCCGTGATACTTGGCTCAAAAGGAAGAACCTAAGAATTGGGGGTAATGGGGAGGGGTGTGCCTGGAGAGGAACCAGAAACTGGTGGGCACAGTGAAGGGACTGTCACTGGAGGCACCAAGAAGAGGTCTCTGGGAGAGGCTGGGACCCCTGCTTACTTGTTGTCCCCACGAAGCCGGGTGCTAAGCTTCATGAGGGCCGTGAGGGCGTATCCTCGGGTGGCTGGCAGGGACATATGGGACTGCAGCACCCTCTCCAGTAATGCCAGCACTTCTTCTTCTTCCACCTTTGCAGGCGGGAGGGGCACAGGTAGTGACCCTGGGCCAGCCCTGCCTTCCCCGACAAGTCCCCTCCTCAGTGTACCCTCAATGCAGGTCTCACCTGAAGCGGCTCAGTCTCCTCACAGCTCCCCTCCAGCAGAAGGTCCCCGTATTCCCCAATGCACCAGGCTGCCACTTGCACCAGCGGTTGCTGTGTAGGATAAGAAACATGCTGGGTCAGTGTCTGGGTCCCCCCCCCCTCACTTCCAACCCTGTGACTTCCCTTTAGGTTGGGAGGGATGGGTAAAGGAAAGGGCCTTGGCACAAGGAAGTTATGTTAGTTTGTTCCCCCACTGCCCTGGTTCCTGGGCTTCCTCTGCCCTCTGGTGGCCAGGAGTCAGAACTACATGGTCTGACCACAAAGGGCGCAGCAAGGATGAAGTGAGGGTCCCTACTTAATGTATGGAAAGAGGGCTATGGATACTGACTGGCATCCATTAATTCACTCAGCATTTAATTAATAAAAAAAAAAACCCAAATACATGCAGAAAGAGCTTTTATTGATCTCATTTGATCCCCAAGACAGTTCCGGGAGGGGGGCAGGGTAGAAAGCTGAGTGTGCCAAGCGTAAAGAAGGTTACATTAGAAGGTTACAGCCAGTAGGTACCAGAACCAGGACAGAAATCCAGGTGTTCTTACTAAAAGCAGGGCCCTGCCCTTGAGGAAGTCCTCCACTAAGTAGAAAGTTATGGCTTTGCCCTAGCCGGCGTGGCTCAGTGGATAGAGCATCAGCCTGCAGACGGAGGGTCCCAGGTTTGATTTCCGCCAGGGGCACATGCCTGAGCTGCAGGCTCGATCCTCAGTAGGGACCATGCAGGAGGCAGCTGACCCATGATTCTCTCTCATCATTGATGCTTCTATCTCTTTCTCCTTCCTTCCTCTCTGAAATCAATAAAGAAATATATATATTTTTAAAAGTTATGACTTTGCCAAAACCGGTTTGGCTCAGTGGTAGAGCGTTGGTCTGCAGAATGAAAGGTCCCGGGTTCGATTCCGGTCAAGGGCATGTACATTGGTTGCGGGCACATCCCTGGTAGGGGGTGTGCAAGAGGCAGCTGGTCGATGTTTCTCTCTCATCGACATTTCTAGCTCTCTATCTCTCTCCCTTTCTCTCTGTAAAAAAATCAATAAAACATATTTTTTTAAAAAAAGTTATGACTTTGAGGGGAAAACCATTGGGAACCAGGTGTAAGTAGTTGGCTAAGGAGGGCCTGGGAGGGTTGGGCAGCCTGGGGTCTGGGTGGGGGAAACATTACCTGGGAGATGTCCTGTGCCAGGGCACTGTAGAGGCGGCGCACAGAGTAGGCGTGGAGCTCCTGGGCCCCGCCAATCAGCTGGGTCAGGTTGGCCACCGCATCATCCCGAACATGGGTGCCCGCCTAGAGCAGCATACATGGCCCAGTCAGTGTGCAAGCCCTGCCTGCTCCTGCCCAGCTCTCTCAGACCCGACCCTGCCTCACCATTGTTAGCACTCGCAGGATGGTGTCTATGTGCCATCGCTTGGTCGGGGCAAACCTAGGGGACAGATGGCATTTCAGTCCCAGCACTGACCCACCCTCTCTGCCTCCTGGGCACCGGTCACCTCACCTCTCTGCGGCCAGCAGGATCCCTGAGGCACAGTCTGCCCGCAGGTCAAGGGGGCAGGTCTCCAGGAAGCCCTGAAGCTCTTGTGTCATGGCTCGCACGTTGGAGCTGTTCACCAGAGCCAGGCTCAGTTCCAGGGCCCGCCTGCCGGGACGAAGATGTGTCTCTACGAGTCACTTAGGCCCTCCTCTTCCCCAAGCACCTGTCTTAGTCCCCTTCCTCCAGCTGCTCTGAGCTGGTCCACCAGAGCTGGGCCTTCTGTCTTGCTCACCGGCTGAGAGAGGCGTCAGGTTCCCGAAGACATTCCACCACAGTGGGCCGGTGGCGCTGCACCGCGCTGTGATCGGACTGCACCAGCCGCAGCAACGATGTCAGGGCCACGTATCTGAACAGAATGGGAGAGGCCCCATCGCGCCATGGCCAGCAGCCCTCCTCCCCGCACCATCCTGCCCTGGGTGCAGGCATCAGAATGAATTGGGAGTCTACGGCCATACCACCCTGAACGCGCCCGATCTCGTCTGATCTCGGAAGCTAAGCAGGGTCGGGCCTGGTTAGTACTTGGATGGGAGAATGAATTGGGAGAGTCTGGGAGGAGCAGGGCAGAGGGCCAGGGTTCAGTGGCACAACCCAGCCAGGCACATGGCATTTTTACCTAATATTC